CTCAGACCCCTCTTTTGCTTCTCCTTCAGCAGTCTATTCAGATGTCCTCCGACGCTCGGAATCGTATCGCCAAGAAGTCCAATGAACTGGCTCAGCGCGCCATAGACGTGTACAAAGATTTTCTGCAGTCCTTCAACAAACCGTTGGACAATTCTGAGCCCGAATTCTACGAAGATTCCTACTTGCGCTCTGTGCTGGTGAGTCCTTCTTCAATGTGAAATAGCTTGCGGTTCTTTTTAGTTTACTTACCTAGGTCCCTAACCGACAGTTTAATGCCAGCACTAAAACCACTGCCATCGTCACCACCTAAACCACTGTCAGCACCAATGCCAACGTCACCACCACCACCACTCCCACATAATATTTAAACCTCTTCGTGGGTTACCAGAGGGAGTGATTAACCTAAAGGATCCGGTTGACTGAAATTGATCTCTACTCGAAGCAGCTGTCGCTTGACGAGTTTCTTGACTGATCCGACAGTTAGTTTCTGAGGTATTCAGACGAGAATGCCTACACTTCTCCGCGCCGGGATTAAGTTTGCTGGAGAATCCACCCAATGTTTTCCATGTAAATCCGAGATGCTCTGGTACGCTCGCAAAATCCCAAACAAATTATAGCACTGCCAAACTACAGGCCGACTGTAGAGTCCTGGTCTTCCCTTGGTCTTGCACTGTCTGTGCTAGAAAGCGGTGCACAGGTTTAGACGGAGGGTTCACGTCGACGGCGCTGGTCTCATTCAGAAATTCCTTCGAGAGCACTCCTTCTGCTAAACTTGAGGTCGAGGAGGCCAGGTTGCACTGGATGGGAAAGTAGGGTAAGGGGGCAGTGGACTGTAGCATATTTGCAACTAAACCGTAGAATCCTGTTCAACGTAGCGCCAATGAATATCTTCAGAAGAAGTCACAGTGATTTTATTGCCATCGCCTCGTACTTTACTTGTATTGGTTCCCTGGCCATTAGCTGTTACTGTGGCAACAACCCTGACAAAAGTCCCAGTCACAAAATTTGG